CTTGCATCTGTCCTTGCTCTCTTTGGTCCATTCTCCACATATGAGTCATAGAGAACCTGTTTAAGTATGTCAAATAATGTTACTCCAAAGGCATATCATACAAGTCATTCTACAAGTCTAAATCCTATTAATGGCCTATAAAATGGTACTGAGTTTGGCTCCATGTTGTCTATTTGACTTCAGCTCTTAGTTTTCCCTTCATTACTCTAGCATAGTAGCCTTGCTGTTCCTCCTGGTACCCACAAAGCACGTCTCTCCTTTACCCTTTGCATTTCTGTAGGGTTCTTTATCCAACACCTAGAACAGTGCCTGGCACATCACAGGCATTCGTAAGATATTAAATTTATTCAAAAATGTTGAATGAATTAATAGATAATGAATTCATTCATTAAATGAATGATTTGTATTAGGTTATGGAGATAAAAACGAACATCCTCTTTCATGTGGGTGACAGACAAGTACAGGCAAATTCCCACATTGAAATGCTAGAATAAGAATTAGTATAGTGTGCCATATAAAAAAATATAAGCAGTGCCTCATTTAGTCTTGTGGTTAGAAAAGTGTTCTCAGAAGATATAATATTTGAACAGAGACCCAAAGACTGAATTGGAAGTGCCTTGGTAGAGAGAGCAGGTAAGAGGGAATAGAGTCCTCAGGGGAATTGTAGTCATACATTAGGGTTGGAATGAAGAGTATGAAGGATAAAGTATTCACGAATGGGCAACTTAATAGGGGCCTGGTTGTGAAAGGACTTGTATACCCTGGTAGGTGAAATGCAGAGGCAGTGAAGAGTATTGAGCAAGAGAATGATGTGATCATATCTTTTTCTAAAAAGACAACCATGTACTTAATGGCTTGGACTTTGGCAAACCTGGATGTTAGGAACATTGAATAAAATTCCATTGCTGCAATATAGACAACAGATAAAGGCAGGCTAAACTGAAGGCAAGAGGAAGGCAATGGAAAACACAACTGGACTATGCTAACTCCATGCTAAATCACTTCTGCATATAGTTATGAGATTTGAAAGGACAAACACGCTCACAAACTGTGGCCTGCAGTACCACCTGGCATCTGTATTGCATGGAATTCAAGAACAGCTGCTGCTAAGCATGGACAAATTCAATTTGTGAAAACACTTGCACAAAATACCATCAACCTCAAAAAAGTGACTTCAGGCACATAGAAAAGCATGATGTCTTACACACAATACAGCTGTACTTAATATGCTTATTCATTCATTCACTCATTCATTCACTCACTCACCAATATTTACTGTATAGCAACAAGTGGCAGGTGCCCTTATAAAGACTGTAGCTGCAGCATTGAACACACAAAAATCCCTTCCCTCTTTGAGATTATATTCCAGTGAGAGGAGCTCAAAATAAGTGGATGCCTACAATAGTGTGTCAGATGATCATAATTTCTATGGAGAAAATTAAGAGATAGAAGGAGGTTAGGAAATACCAGGGGAGGGACAAAGGCAGTTTAAAACTAGAAAAAGGGAGAGTGAATGACTACACTTTGACAAACCTCACTTTGAGCAAGAATTGAATGAGATGAGGGATCAGGGCAGGCAGCTATCTGGAATTTTCACCTATCCACAATGTTTAAATTCAAAATATGTAACTAGTTTGAAGGCATCCTTTGTTTTAATAGTGAAAGGCATATTTTTATCTGGCAAGCAGGTTGATGCCATGGCTTGCCCCAGATCAACTGACCAAATTCCCCTTCAGAAGCTCACACGTTCTCAGAGTTTCTTAGATACAGATAAAGGTGAAGGAGGTTCTTCCCTGGAATCTGCTAAGTCATCCCTTGAGATGACACATAAGAGTATCTCTCAGGCACAGCTGGCATGTTTCCAAACCTCTGTCTAGCAAAACATCAGCTGTAGCTTCCTTTGGATGTTATGCTTCAAAATAAAAAATAGGGTCGGGCCTGGTGGTTCATGCCTGTAATCCCAGCACTTTGGGACGTTGAGGAGGGAGGATCACTTGAGGCCAGGAGTTTGAGACCAGCTTGGGCAACATACCAAGAACTTGTCTCCACAATATATATATATATTTAAAAAATAATATATATTTTTTAAATATATATTTTAAAAAATAGTATGGTAGTGTTCAACTGTAGGCCCAGCTACTCGGGGGGCTGAAGCAGGAGGATTGCTTGAATCCAGGAGTTCGAGGCTGCAGTGAGCTATGATCTCACCACTGTACTCCAGCCTCGGGGACAAAGCAAGACTTTGTCTCCAGAGAAAAGAAAAAGCATGTCAAAGAGATGTCTTCAATCCTATGTCCATCAATGGGTGAGTGGATAATGAAGATGTGGCATATATACACAATGGAATAATATTCGGCCTTAAAAAAGAAGAAAATCCTGTCATTTGTGACAACATCGATAAACCTGAAGGACATTACGTTAAGTGAAATAAATCAGGCACGGAAAGACAAATAGCACATGATTTCACTTATATATGGCGTGTAAAGATGGTCAAACCCATAGAAATAGAGAATAAAATGGGAGGATGAGGGGATTAGGGAGATGCTGTTCATAGTAAAATATTTGCATTTTTTCTTAGTAAATATAATATATACAAATAGTTTTAGGTAAAACATGAAAAAGTATAAAATTAAAACAAAAATCACTTGTTTTCCATCCAGAGATAAACAAGTTTCTATCTGAGGCCTCTATATTACAGAAATTAATATTTCTTAATTGAGAGGATAGGGGGCACACACACACCTTAATTAAAGAGGGCATCCTCCTTTTTTTGGTTGAACAGAATTCTATTGTATGGATATAACACTCAGTTGCTTCTAGGATGCCATACTTTCTCAGAGGCTACACACTGCTCTTTGGGGTATAATCCTCTATCGACTAGGCAGAGGTTGGCATGTTCTATTACCAAATATTCTCTGCCTATATATTCATGATCCTAGAGATATATCTGTTTTTGGAACAGGCAGTGATGTTATTTTATCAGGGAAGACCTTTATCTGAGCCATTATAAACTACACATTTATTTCAATAAAGAAACCTGTTAGAAGATTCTAACATAAACTCAACCACAAATAGTAAGACAACTGCTCTTTACTAACCACATCATTGAGAAAGTTGCTTAACATCTCTGAGCCTCAGCTTCTTTATTTGTGACATCGATAATCACCTTTCTGTATCTCAACTTGCTAGTAAGAAAGATGACATGTGAAACTATCTTGTAACTGTAAAATGACATACAGATGCAAGGGTGTTATTAATGATTAAGGCAGTCCTTTAGTGTTTCAAATCTCCTATTTTAAACTCAACTCTCAACACGTGCATCTTCCAACTACAGGCACTCAGATGGACCCAAAACTCTAACATTAAACTACAGTGCCCCCTAGCCCATGTAGGAGGTCAAGGCAGCTGATAGGCTTCATGAATAAGCTTCACCACAGACGGTTCTTTTGCCTGAGGGAAAGGCCATTAATTGTACTTTTGGACGATTTCCATCTGTCCAAAAGGAAAAACACTTAAGTATTTTCTTCAGTACTTGCCTGTAACATTGGTTTTATTTTTAAATTTTTTAAAAAAGGAGTAAAAAGTAAATACCCTTTACTATTTAAATTTCCCTCCTCCAGATTGCTGTAAATGAAGAGTCTTTTTAAAAGACTTGCACTAGATTTGTCTTAAGATTCACTGTGATGTTTCTGATTTATATTTTATTCCCTGTTTGCGGTCACCAAATTCTTTATAGTCCAGTGTGAAAGAGGATATTGGTCATAGCACTCTTTTCACAGAGGGGGAATATAGGGTTAAGTTTTTTTGCAAGATTGCAAAGTAAGCTGTTATTATGAGCCTCAGCCCCCTAATGCCAATACACATTAAACCCACTGATAGACACAGAATTGTTTAAGGAAACACCATCGAATATTTTTATATCAAAATGTAAAAATATTTGCTAACATGGGTTATAAAAGCCAAGATTAAAATATATATCAGTTGCTTTCTTCCGATAGGCTAGAGTTCTTTGTTTATCTTTGGATTTAATCTCATAGATTTTTATAGAAATTTTTAAGTTTAAATGGTACAGTAGGGAAATTGGGTCCCAAAGTGATGAGTCCTTAGGAAATTGAACTTGCTGTATGGGTTTATTTTCCATGCTAAGCATTTAAGTATTAATCAGCACAGCTTTCAGGGATTTCTTTCTAACATCCTTTTCTATGTAAGATAAGGACTGCAATTCATTGTACCATGGGAGGAGCCAGAGGCTTTGCTAAGCTTTGCTTTTCTTGACTGTTCATCTCAAATTTAATACCAATGTGTACACGTATTTGTGTGTGTGTATGTGGTACTATATTGGTGACCAGACTTGAATTATGACACAGTCTTGGTTGCCTTTCAGGCTACATGTCTCTCCCCTTTAGGGGGGTCAAAGATCATTTCAGGCTCAGTGTGCTTTTTATGACCCACTCAGGGGGGCAGCAAATGAGATCACAGGAACCTGGGAGGTGACTTTTATCAGCAGTTATTTTTCTTTTCATCTCTCTGTTAACCTAGCTCAGAGAACACTCAAGACATTAAACATTACTCTTCACCAACTCCTGGCTTTCTGTGATCTGATCGCTTCTAAGTGAAAACCTCTATTACCCTAGCACTGGTCCCTTGAGGTCTTCTTTTATTCTTCTTGTGTACAAATATCACAAGCAGGGACAACAACAAACCCTCAAGTCCACAGCAAAGAGAATGCAAGTACACGGCAGGCACCATTCCTCTTCACACTGTTTTTTTTCACTTGGTAGGGGAGGCTAAATTTTGGCGACGATAATGGCATTTATGGGGGGCGGGGGGAAAAGTGTGTCTAATTATATGTTAATGGCACAACTTGCCTTCACCCTGACCCCCCTTGCACACTAGTGAATCTCCCCTGCGTGCTCCTATGTGGATCCAGACACCCTTCTCTCTTTAAGAGAGACTCCCGCGCCCCTCACTCCGCCCCTTCCTAAGTCTCTGGGCTCGTCAAAGCTTCCTGAGAGCCATGGTTGGTCCAGGCAGGCAATCGGAGCACCGCATGGAGCGGCTGCTTACCAGGGCTGGGGTGGGGTGGGGTGGAGGGGTCTGTTTGTAGTACTCTCAGCCCTGATGTCACAGGAGCGGCAAGGACATCGCAAGGAGGAGTCGGATTACAGTAAGGATGGGCAGTGCAGCAGGCAGCCCCAGCGCACGCTCCAGCCGCCGGGGATCTTAGCCTCGGAAAGGCAGCCTGCAAGGCGCTCATCCCGCGGAGGAGGCAAGCTTGGCGCTCCCTGCTCTCCACGCCGGGGACGTTTCCACCGAATGTAGCATGAAACGGCTCTGCTCGGCGTGTCAGCCTTGGGTGCGAGCTAATGCAGAAGACGCCGCGGTGGGGTTTCAGCTGTCTGATTAATGAGAAACATAATGTATTTTGGTGAGTGTTCACTCTGATGATGTAATTTGGGGGTGCCCGGCTCTTCATCAGTGCAGACAAGCCCTTAAAAAAAAATCTTTAAGCTGCAAAAATATATTGCATTAAACCTACCTCCAGTTGGCAACTGGAAAACCAAGCTGGTGCAGCCTTCAAAGCTTCCTTTGTGCTACCATTGAGGTTGTTAATTAGCTATGGATGAGTTTAAGTTGCAAAAGAAAAGAGACAGGGGTGGAGGGAGGGCAAACTTTGCGTTGATTTGTTAGAATGAAGTTGGCCTTTTTAGCTAGGTGAAGGAGGAGAAATGGTGCAGCGTGGGAAGTCATGAGCTAACTTAATGGAATGTGAAACAAAGTTCCTATACTATGGATGCTGTGAAAGCTGAGTCAATATGAGAGTTTCAATAAGCACTGGGTTTTTTCCTAGTTCTGAGGCAGGAAAGGAAAACATTCTCTAGCGAGCAGTGGTTGAGCAGCTGAGAACACTCCCCCATACCATCGCAGTGCTCCATCTCGCTAGCAGCAGCCTAGCACAAAATGCACATTATTTTAAACCTTTAGAGGTCTCGGAACTGTTACATATTTTGTGCAGTTTAGTTTTGTGCCAAGGTGGAAACCTCACTTAGGTTTTCAGCTGGGCTGCCTGCATTTTCAGAAAGCATGTTGAGGCTTAGATCTGGGCTAGCAGCTGAGCACTGGAAGGGGGCTCAAAGCTGTATATTTGCACTGTAACGCTGCAGCTTACTGCTAGGAGAGAAGGCAAAGCCCCTTCACTAAAAAAGAAGAAGCCAAGGATAAGGACTGAATATCCTTTCCTCCTCCCTGAAGTTATGCTTTCCTTCTCTAAGTCCCATCCGGCATCATCATTTAACGGCATCTTTCTATTAAAAGGTTTGTGAGAACAACTGGAGAGGGGCAAGGGAATGTATCTAAGATGCAAATGTTCGGGGTGATTTCTTGGTTTGCTTTAAATATTGAATCTGGAGTCTTCTTTCAGATTAAAGAAGTATTTAGGTAAACTTAGGTTGGGGCACTATTAGTTTGTTGGGCATGTATTTTCTGTGTGTACTATTTGCTTTGTTTTGTTTTCCTGAGCCTTTGAAACATTCAAGAAAGTATGGAAGGAACCCAAGTTGCAAAAGCTAAATGCCTGTAGTTGTCTTGACAGCAGTTTTGATTTCCCTATAATATGTGTCATATTAGAAAAGAAGTCTTAAAATAACCAAAATTGATTTGGAAGAAACAATCCTCATTTATAGCCAAATTTAAGCAGAATCCAGAGTTAAACACCACCTCTTTCCAGAGTGTAGTGATGGAGGTGGTAAGCTTGTTATTGGCCACTAATAAAAGTGTTTATTATGAATATATTTTTGATAAATGGAAAAGCTTGTAAAGATAATGTCTTTTGTCAAAATAAAATTTCAGCATCAGTAATGATATTGAGGGATGGTGAGATAGATTACAATTTAAGTTTTCAGCCTCTTGCAACAATTTTTATGTGATTGTGGTGAGGAAGTAGGGCTAATGAGAACAGCGGTATAGTCTAAAACTACTGGTCAAAGGCCACCCGTGATATACTGGATTATTGTGTGGCTATTGGAGAAATATTCATAGGACTAACTCATATTATTAACTGTATGCTAGTGCAGCCTTCTTGTAAAGCAGGGTGATTCACAGGGTAATTAGTTTCGTTGTATAATGCAAGTTTTTAATAGTACATATTAAAATGTGATGTCCTACTTACTTCAAATGAAACTCTTTTCTTTGAAAGGCAAGGCTAAAGTTGTTCTCTGTGTCATGAGCATGGTTCCGTCTCACCATAATTTCAGCATGAGAAATGTTTTTCTATTCCCAGAGGAAATCGTGTGTATTCAGGAATGCTGTTTCTTTCAGGTTATGCTACGCAGCCCCTTGCTAAAGCTGTTAGACATCCAGAACTCTGAGAGCCCACCTGTCTCTAATAAAATGCATGGAACGAGAGCTAGGGCAAAAAGAATTGAGCAATACACCCCAGGCATGTTAAATTTTTCAGTAGCATTCTCATGCCTGCAAATTTTTAAGACTATGTATATGTATAAGTGTGTACATACACATATATATAGACATGTGTATGTATATTTGTGTGTATGCAAAATTTCAGCAATTTCAGGTAGTTTTTCAAAACAATGCTTTCATTTTTCAAATTGGTTGACCACTACTTTTTTCTTCATTTTTTGGCTGCACATAGTTTATCAAGTCAGGGAGAACAGGGACAAAGGGAAAGCAGTACTGGATTCTTGGGCTTTCCCGGTGATTTGTGGAAATGGGTTAGAGGTATCAGAAGTCTTTTATTTGTGTCCCCAGCAGAGAGTGATGAAGAGCATGGTGATGCTGTGGTACGGGGTGAATTGATATGAAAGCAAGATATTAACTTCCCTTATAAATAATCTGATTTGTTAGTGTTGCACGCCCCCCTTCAAATATAACTAAACAATCACTGCCCGAATTGGCTGCCCCAGCCTACCTGCTTCTCTTTAAGCCTCCTTTCCGTTCCAAACTGGACAGTTGGGCCCTGTCCTGGCTCAGCTGGAGTCAGATGCATGTGTGCAAGTTGGTGGAATATGTAATATTGCCGGTTCTCAAGAATAGCTCATGTTTTGAGTGTGCTGTCTCAGGCTTGCAAGACTAATGGACCCTTTTAATGACTTAAAGCTTGCTCTTATCTTCTACTGAGATTTTAGTGCAGTGTTTTCAATAATTGTTCCTTTGCACTTCCTGCTCAGCGATTTAAGAGTTTGCTGTTCAGTCACCGTGGATACTTTTGTTACTTATTCTATCGATCTTGGACCTTGCATTCATTACTTGGAGTTAAATGTAAGAGTCACACGGGAGAAAGAAGCAGGAAAAATTGCAGTCAGCAACCTGGATGGGATTTACTGTAAAAGCAAGGGAAAATAATAAATACTTATGAAGTTACCCTCCCACCCCCATCAGTATTTTAGATAGTTAAAAATTACACGTGCCAAGGATGAATAGCCATTAATAATTTATTCAGAAATAAAAGCAGAGCAGCTGGGAGACTTCTTCCCAGATTAAGGAAGAAAGGCTGCGGGTGGTTGTCAGTACAATGGACTCAGCTGCCGGGTTACGGTTTGGTTAAGAGGAGTGTGCTGGTATGAAGGCCAGGTTCTGTGCTTGAGTGTGTCGCGCAGTTGCTCAGCCTCTGGCAGAAGGTTGTAGCTGTGCACTGTATCCAGCTCTAAGTGCCGTATGTTTGAATCATCTCCCCCCTTTCCATCTGGCTCGACACATTTCTCCACTGCTGGAGTGGTGAGTCGTTGCCAGTGGTCATGTCAACCACACAGATTCCTGATGGTTGGCCAGAGAGGTGCCATGTCTCACCCTTTGTCACAGGGAAAGAAAATAGGAAGCTGGTGGTAAGGAGGAAATTCTGAGTGGCTGAAAATCAGTATGCTTTCAGGCCTGAGTCAACTAGATGGAGACTATGGTGAGCTTACAGCCAAGAAGGGGCTGGGGATTGCTTCATGAGAATACTCCTGAAAAATGAAATGATATACTTTAAGCAAATGAGCAGACAGACAAATATTAGAGCTCACTCTAAATGTTACTGTTAACCTAGAGAAAACGGCAGGCAAAATTTAGAGAGTGTGAATAAACCATTCAAGTTCACCTTGGTGTTAATTGTGGATCAACTGTCTTCTTTAAAATGCCTAAGAAAAATACTTAGTGGTATGCCTATCATAATAATAAATACTTCATTGAGGAAGCTTTTGATATAACAACTAGAAAAACAAATATAGTAGAAAAATTCTAGACCAGAACTCTATTTCCTTGCCTATAATAGACACGTTTGGACATAGTCTTAGCAAGGACTTTTGTTTTTCCTCTGGGATGCTTAGAACATTCTCAAGTCAGCATTTACACTTTTGGGTTGTGGCTGGACCATCAAGTTCACCTCCAAAGCAGTGTGTTGGAAAAACAGTTAAACGGCAAGGTTATGAGCAAGGCAATGATCAGAAAGCAGCAAGCAGCAGAGAAAAACATTCTTCTTTTTTAGTGTTTTCGGTGTAGTTACATTTAACTCCTTCTAATTAGTTTGTACTGAGCGATCTGTTATGGGGAATTAGGTCCACTAGAGTCTTTCTAAATTCTCAGGAGGTGTTTCTATCTTACTGAGGCTGACAAGTGGAGAGAATTATTCAGGAAGGAACTTCTATGTCCAAATTCCTCCTTTTAAAGTTTGGAGTCATTACCATTATTATGTTTTATTACAAATGAATCTAAATGGCATGCAATAAATTACTACCTAACAGGGATAGAAAATGTAACAGGTGAATACTATTGGAAAGGACACCATGAAAAAACCTGAATTCTAAGAGAACTTCAAAAACCATAAATGTTTCTTCCTCAAGACTGTTCTCTTTTACAATTTTTAAGGAAGTTATTATTTTAAGAAGCCAAATTCCAAATTTGATCAATATATGAGTAACACATATTCCTTATCACTTCTTAAATTTCGAGCTAATTTTTTAAAAGACTTCCTTAGTTGTTGTAATTATATGGAAATGAGATGGGTTTATTTAAGGGATACATTCCAAAATTCATGAGATAATGATGACTTGCAAAGTTACCCTTTTGTGGGTGGCATAATTGTTCCAAAAAACAAATGAAAAATTTAAATTATTGGTTTCTGACTTCCATTCTAGAAGATTTGGTCACAGCTGCTTTTGACTGAAACCTCCCTTGATAAGACAAAATGTGTTGGTTAGTGTGTGTGTGTGTGTGTGTGTGTGTGTGTGTGTGTGTGTGTGTAACACTGGAATGTCAAGTAGTGCCTTGTTAGGTAGATCCCCAATATTATACTTCATTCACAGCCTTTATGTATTCCTGTATCTTTTAACATCATTTGAAATGTAACACATTAAGTATTGATTTAATAAAATGGATATTAAAGTGTTTTTTGAGCACAGCTGGCTTTCAAGTTTAGCAACCATAATATACATT